ATTCTACGAGGAATAACGCCTTTTGTCAACAGAGTTCTGTCGACAGAAGGCGTTCTTGCATCTACACTGTCCTTTGCATCTACACTCCCATGTTGACAGAGCGGCTTGCTTTGTCGACAGAACTGGATGTTGTCTAGACGCTCTTTGTCGACAGAAGCTTTGTCTACAGTATCTGTTGACAAAGCCTCTGTTGGCAAAAGCTTGTAGTCTAGACATACCCTCAGGGACAGATTATAGGCCAGTCTCAGCAAGATGTTGAATGCCATCTTCAAAGAAAGCAGTGGGCACACAGTGCCTTAGCATCTTGCACGATCAAGTCTTTAGTGACCAGGACCCAGGGCTGGGAGAGTTCTCAGGCACCAGGCCCCTGGAACACTGTACTGTGGTCCTTAGTACAGACACACAAAAATAAAGATAACATTGTTCTACTGCAACACTTAAAAAGCTGATCCATAGAGAAACTGACATCAGCTTTAAAACTTATTTCAAAATGTGATCAGGAAGAAGGATGGAGAAGTGAAACAAACTGTTGGGGCAGCAGGTGGGGGGGAGGGCAGAGGAGATAGGGAGGATATATAAATCAGAGGAAAAAAAGGGTAAAAGTGAATTATAGTAAGTAAGCTTGCACTGCATTACTGATCTGAAAGAGGTTACATTGTCAAAGTTTCATAACTTCCTCTCCTTTAAAATCATGCAGTTTTAAAATGAAAATATTGTTGTTTCCTTTCTGATGAGATATTAAAAAAACATTTTACCATCTGATTTGCAAAGAAAGCAGGCAAGATTGGAAACACCAAACAGTGTAGAAATGAAAATATTTCATAAACACAACACTGCATGCAGTACAAAAGGAAAATACATTGCATGCTTGGTCAAACAGCCACAAAAAACTTTTTAAAGCTTATAGAAGAAACAAACTGAATAATGATGTACTATGTTCAGGACTAGTTACTGTGGTCAACATACAGTTTACTTTATAACTACACCAAGCCTTTTTGTTACATGTGGAGAAAATAAAACATTAGTGCCACAGAAAATATGACACTGAGATTAATCCAGATATCAGTACATCTGCATATGCATCAATTCCGAAGACTGACCCATTACACACAAGCTATTAAGCTATGTTCTACATGGATAATAAACTGAAATAAATTAAAATAAAAATCAGCAAATTTTCAAAACCCAGTGCTTTTAATACAAATCTGAGGAAGTATGCTCCAATCTACATATTTAAAAGCCATTATATATTTTTACTGTACCTATATCTGGATACATCCCTGGCATTTTTTATGTTATAAATGCATGAAATGATTTACAGACAAGTTGCAACATAGAGCCATAATGAGCTTTTGAATCACCAATACTCACACATAAAAGGGGATCTGATCATCAGCAGGTGCTGGAGAAGATCTAGAATGTGAAGCATACGATGCAGCATCTTTTTACAATTGTGTTAACAAATGTCAGTGCCTCATGCTGAATGTGAGATGCATACATATGTAGTTAAAAGAGTGAGCTTCTATTTATTTATTTATTTTTACCCCTTCCACCAACATTCCATCTACACCTCCCCCGGAAAGCATCTGCTCTTTATTGGTGTCTATAGCAGTGATTATTAACAAGCATGGAAAAATGGAACTGCAATCAATCTTTTATTCCTTGATCAGGAATTCATCCACACACTTTAGGTTAAGGCAGGTGAATTCTGATTCAGCTCAGTAATTATCTGGCAGATGTTACTAGCAGCTGCTGCTAAGCAAAAAACCTTGGCTATTATTACAGAAATTTAAGAGCCTCTGGCAAGGTGGAGTGAGAAGTGAAATGGAATGCATTCTGGCAAGGCCACAATTTTGGTTTTCCATGCAAAAAGAAATAATGAAACGTGGAATCAAACCTGTTAGTCTTGAACTCCTGAAACTCAAATACCTTTGCACAGCAATAAAACAAAATTGCAGCTTGCAATAGGTACATATTACAAATGTTTGGGGTGTTTTTTCAACAAATCATGTTCCCCGTAAAAATATGCAACTTTGTAATGGAAATAATTTCATTTAAATACCACCCAGTTTCACATACACAGAGGCCACCTGAAAGTGCCTCAACACCTTCACATTTAAAGTGCTGCAATCCAGCCCATTTCCCCAGGGTGGGCAACCATTTTTTACTGGGGACCACTTCAGAAATTTCTCAAGTGCCCAGGCCGCACTGGAAGGGGTGGGTCCTCAAGCAGAAAGTGCAGGACCAGGACACTTCTCTGCTTCCCCACCAACAGACCATGACTGGTCTGGCAGTGGGGGAGCACATGAAGTCTTTGCCAACCCAGAGGTTTCCCCTAGGCACCCTTGCCCCTGGTGGTGGGAGGAGACTTCGCGCGCTCCCCCTTTTGCCCCCAGGCCAATCAGAACGCGTGAAGTCTCCTCCTTGCTGGGTGGGGAAAAAAACTGTGTGTACTCCCCCCCTGCTCCCAGGACCTTTTACCCACCCCTGCCTTTGCCCATATGCTGTACTTTAATCAAGATTGCCAGGTAGGACTGGTATGATTTGATGCCTCTCTCCATAGGCTAAGCATGCTGCCCCCACAAGACCGTAAACATAACAGACTGAAAGATTGGACATTCCTGGAAGGCACCAAAGTAATAGAACAATTATGTGCTGCATTTAATTGTAACACATTGTCGATCCTCTGCTCCCTATTTTCAAACTATGTTTTCCCATATCTATTGCCTTAATTAGATTTTCATTTGCCTTCCTCCTTTTTATGCCATTTTCTTTCTTATCACAGACCCTGATGTATCTTTTCCTACATTGTCATTCTGTTTCCTCTTTTCCTTCTCTCTCCTTTTCACACTGCTCTCTACCCCACATATATTTTCTGTTCTTCCCCCCTCCACTAATTGCTCCCTTTCAAATTTCTCATTTTTAATCCCATCAATTTCTCATTTTTAATCCCAATCAATCTTTTTCTCTCATTCTCCCACACTTTCTCCCACCCCAATTCACACCAAAATTTTACAATTAGGATTAAATGAACTCTCCAAAGACTTATACAAAAATGGGCAGCCTGCACTATGCAAGGACACAGTGATGCAAATGAGAAGCAAACTTTTTTGCTGGGAAAGAGGAGTATGATGGGGTTACCACCACGGTGCTCTCCTTGAGTTTGTTTGGGTTCATCTCACTTATTAAATACTAGGTGGTGCTTTATGTGTTCTTCCTCCCAGTTCTCTTAGATAGCTTCTTTCTGCAGCAACCTGTCTCGTCTTTCCCCCTTAATGATGCAAGGGTGAGTGGAAGGGCTACATAGCTCTACTCCTCCCTTCCTCTCCTGATGCAAGGGGGACAGAGGCTCTGCTAACCCTTGCTCATTCTCTCAATGCTACTGAATATCTCCCTTAACCTACTCCCATGATTATTTCTAGATACTGCTACTGGGGCTGCACAACTTGTGGCAAAAGGTGAGCCTCCCAGTCCAGGTCAACAGAGATTGAACGACCATGTTAAAAATTGCTATGTAAATGATGTGGCTCAGGTTTGAGCTAAGACTCTGAAGCCTAGGGAGGATGGTGGGCCCCAGAGCCCAAGCCACAGCTTCAAAGCATTGTCTAGAGAAGCAATTTTCAAACAATAGAGTGAGCCCTGTGAGCCAGAATCTGACAATCCAGTCTGGGACACTAGTTGCCATGGGCTGTGTAGACATACACTATGATATACTATCTATACTGGAGAAGTAATCCAGGTTAACTACATCAATTTAACAGTGATTTAACACTGGCTTTTGTTGCATGGACTTGTGTCAGCAAGTTATCAATTTAAGTTTATTCAATACAAGCAAGGATTAAAATGGATTCAAGGATCAATGTTATGGGTTTACAGTGGTTTATCTAGACTGAATTTTAAATCAATTCACTCTAGTGTACTTTTGTAATACAGACAATATATTTTTCCGCCCCTAACCCCAAACATAAGAGCTGAAATGAAACTGACTTGATGCGTGTCAATTTCACTACTGCCCATAGGGTTCGGAAAAATAAATATGAAACCTAACAAGAGTGATCAGCTTAGTAAAGTTCTGAGCAAAATCAGAGGCACTGGAGCTTGCTCTCTGCAGTCAGGAAGACGTCAATGAATCCTTTTACAGATGGTTATGTTTGGAACTTTTATTTTCATAACCAGACAAGCTATACATATAATTTCATTTTAAACAAAAGCTTAGATTCTGGAGTTGATAGAATTTACGGGGGGATGGGGGAGGGGGAGTTACTCTCTGCAGGCAACCGGATTTTTCAAACCTTGTGTTAAATAAGGGAAATTCTGAAAAGTTTATTCTTTGGAGTAATATTTTTTATTACAACAGCTCCTTTTTTATGATCCAACCAAAACCTTGAAAACCTTCACAAGATGCACTGTATTTCTGCTATTTGTCATAGACATACTGAAAATTATCTTTTCAATGTTATGTTGCTGCATTAATATTGTGTGTCATACTTCTGTTTGGCAAACAACAAAGATGAATTCACTATCAAGATATTCTGTAAACAAAATCGCTGGCATTATGGCAAGAACAAGTCACACTTCAGAATCACCAATCCCCAAATAAAGTTGTATTATTTTCTTGGTATGAACATATTCTTTAAAAACCACATGGCAAATGGGAAATTCTGATTGCAGCTCCCTATTCAGAGGTAAATAGAAATTTAGGGACTGAATGAGCCTGATTTCAGAAAGGTGCTTTTTAAAAGGTTCTGATTACCTTCCTCTTGAGTAAAGAGAGAGCAGTGATGAGGATAGCAAGGGAAATACACAATACCTTTCACAAATGATTTCAACTTTCAATCATAGAAGCCTCAATTTAAAGATGAATTCAACTTTCAGGAGGAACTCTTCTCCTTTCCCCATCCCCCCACCTCCCGAAAAAACAGTTTTATTTAGAATATTGACTTGTACTGTATTTCTTGACAATTGGACTCTTCACACAATTTTTTACCAGTTTTACCTACTTTATATCAGGGCCAATGAGTGAATGTCTCCTCAGCATAGCCCGAGCCTGTGCATTGGTTAAATTTGTGGTTGCCTCTTCATTAATTGACAGAATACAATCCCCCACACTGATTCGTCCATCACGACTTATGGAACCACCATGGATGATGCTGCGAACTATCATTCCTGAGCCATCTTTATTGGAACTTACTGTCATCCCTATTATAAAACAGGCATGAAACAGATTATTGTTTATATCCTGTGTTCTATATATAGATCTTATCTATATAAGGTGAAATACATTCAAACTGCACTGAGCATTAATGTAGTGTGCAGAGGTAAACAATGTGAATTCCACCCCCCCAAATATGGGTCCGCTGAAAATAATTCAATGCACGCTCCAGGCCGAATGATGCTATTTCAGCCTATGACCAGGAATAGCAGTCACATTCCCTCAATTAAAAAAAAAAAAGTTTTTGAAGTTTCACACTAAAAGAACAATGTAATTGCAGTGATATTTAAAACAGAGAGAAATAAAAACAAAAAAGCTCGAGAGAGAGAGACATTTCTAAACATGATCAGTTGCACTAGTGTTGGAATTTTAACAACACAACGTTAAAAGTAATTTTATTTATTTTAATTGGATTAAAGTTTAAAAAAACCAAACCCCTGAGATTTGAAACAAAGTCAGGATCTATAAATACGAACAGAAAAGCCAATACACCTATCATGGAGCAGCACAGTCTTGGTGCATCCAGTAGACCTGATCCAATGTCCAAGTTCATGGGCATCTTCCTATTGATTTCAATTGTAAGTGGATCAAGTAGTGACTTTCGAGTTAGATTATAGTATGTACTGCTGAGCAAGAGATCATAGGTCAGTTATATATACACTTTAGCGAAGTCACCGCAGTACCTTTGTAAGTATACAATTACAATCAATCCTTGTTTCCTTGTGTTATTCTCCACAGCTGTCTTTCTCTAATAATCCACAGAATAGGCAAAAAGAAAGGTGCCTACAGGATAAAAGGCCAATCTTCCCTACTCAGCACTACCAATGCACCTCCAATGAAGGGAGTTTAATACTATTGCCTTAAGCAATTCTGTCTTTGTCCTCTCCAGTAAAATTACTATAGAATGCCAGTTAACACCAAGACCAAATATTTCAAAAATGAGCACCTAAATTAGGCTCTTAAATCCATATTTAGACTCCTAAATAAAAACACCCTGCTTTTTAGAGTTCTAACTACAGTAATTCCTCATTTAACACGTGCCCACTTAACATGTTTTCACGATAGCGTAATTTTTTTTTTTTAGGGAACATTTTTTGAATTACACGACTATCCCCAGAATAACACGATTTCCCCAGCTGGCCCATTGCCGGCGGCTGCGCGGGGCTTATCCCACCTCCCTGCAGAGCGGCAGAGGGTTCGCCGCTCGTTGCGCCATTCTCCTCTGACTCCCCCTTGCTGGACGCCTTGACCCCTCTTCTCCGCCCCTGCTTGCAGGCCGGTGGCTAGGTTTCCCCAGCCGGCCCATTGCCAGTGGCTGCGCGGGGCTTCCCCCGCCTCCCTGCAAAGCGGCAGAGAGTTCGCAGCTCGCCACGCCGTTCCCCAGTGACCCCCTCCCCCTCGCCGGACACAGTGCAGGTACTGGCAGATGCATCACAGGGGCATACTTCCAACCCAATCCCACTCTCCTCTCCTGCCCTTCCCCAGAGCCAAACACCTCCCCTCCCTGCTGTAACCCAGTCCCCTTTCTCCCCCAACCTTATGTCCCGGTCCCAACAGATACCACCACTTGAAATGCAACCCCCACCTTTTCCATTATTTTCAATGGGAAAATTGACCCTGCATAACACAGTTTACTTAATCATTTTCTGAAACATATCTATAGTGTTAAATGAGGAATTACTGTACTAACTTTAGTAGGAACAAAAGGAACTCATTGCTTCTGCAAATCAAACCATGTTCATTTAGGAAGTCTAAGTGAAACAGGAGCCTAACTCTGGGCACCCAAAGGCTGAAAATTTTGCCCAGCACACTTAGGGTACATCTATAGAGCAGCCTTATTTCAGAATTACTGATGTTATTTCGAAACAACAAAATGCACGTTTACACAGCAAACCATTATTTTGAAATAATTTTGATATGGCGAACTTCTTACTCTAACTTCTGTAACCCGCATTTTATGAGGAGTAAGGGAAAGTGAAGGAAGAGTGCTCCTCCTTTGACTTCCTGCTGTGTAGACAGCACCAAAAGCCGAATTAAGCTATTTCGACTTCAGCTACACAATTGACATAGCTAAAGTTGTGTAACTTAATTCAACTTTTGTCCTGCTCTGTAGATGTAGGACCTTGGAACACTCAGCCTGCTTGCACCTCTAGGGCTCTCTCAAAAATAGACACAGAAATTGAACTAAACAAATCTGGGCATCTCCCAGCACTACTCTATAGGCTCTCTCACACTCACACACAATAAAAGATAAGCAGCACATTTTGAGAGGGAGAAATGGTGTGAGGTTTTAAAGAAGCAAGTAACAGTAGGTGAAATGCAGGCTTATCCTAGGCATAGACTTATGTCACCAACAATAACGTTTTTATTAATGGAGCCTGATTACATGAAACCCTCTCTCCCCATTTGCAGTTGAGATCAGTAGGGACTACGGAGATAGCGTCTCCTGAGTTAAAGAAGGGGGCTGCTGCTAATAGAGCACTGCCCTAAACTCTGAATGCTCTTTCTTGCTGTGGCATGCCAGGGCTCAGATTTATTGACCATCCTGGCATGCAGCAAAGCCCATCTCTTTTTTAGGGCTTTTAACAGATGGAAGGACACAAGGTTATCTGTGGTAGGGGATGCATATTCGGCATGTAATTTAAGCTATTGGCAGGTTCTCCAATTGTCTCAATGAACATAAACATATGTCTTTAATCTACTTTAAATCACCCAGAGCAAAGGATGCTTTAAGTTCGTTATAATGTTTTTCTATCCTATGGCTATTAATGAGAGTACAGGACAAAAATCAGCTGCCTTTATTCAGCCTCCTAGTTTAGTTATATCCAGAACAAATGCTGCACACATGACAGATGGCCAACATAGGCTGAGGTCTGGGGACATCATCCATATGTTTATTCTCATGCACTTCCTCATCTAGGAACAATCTCAAGGCAGATCCACTTGCATAGATTATTCATAATAGAAACAGAATACACACGTTTCTATGTTGGGCTCCATTCAGACAGAATATAGGCAGAACGTTGACTTGCATAGATTATTCATAATAGAAACAGAATACACACATGTTTCTATGTTGGGCTACATTCAGACAGAATATAGGCAGAACGTGCGTGCCCCTTTCTGGGGGCATTACCCATTTCCAGGGTGACAAACAAAATACTTCTATATTATGAAGCCAGTTGCTCCCTTGGGTAAATGGGCACAGTTCCACTGTAATCAACACAATCATAACACGGACAAATCAGCCCATTGCCTATGGAATCACATCCAAATTAGACTTTACTTGCACGTCTGAGGTCACATTCATGACTTCAGAAGTACAAGAAAAGAAAAAAAACTAAATGCCACTGTGGTTGTAACAACAGCTTTCACTAATCTATTACCAGAGTGATGACACTTTACCTCTCATTGTATCTGAAGGGTTCAGTTCTCCCAGCATAGGTTTTTTAATTAAACCACAAGTTAAGTGTTGTGGGTGCGCCTGCAGCTATGACTGATGCCATTTAAAGAAACAAAATGCAACTCTCAACTGAAATAATTGACACAGCTGCAGCTTTCAGCACCATTATGCAGCCTTTGATTTAGCTGCTTCACTAAAAGTGAAAGTTAAGAGCAGTGCAGTCATGTGTGCAAAACACTGGCTAGGCCTCAGCAGCACAGGGCACAGAACAAGAAGGGATTGCACCTGGAAATGAAGAGAAGAAGTGGTGCATCCAAACACTGCATTCTTTTATTTTAACATTATATCATACAGACAACTAAGTAATTGCAGCTTTTTGCAATTTAACTTTGGACTACAAATAAATAAATCATTGGGTGTTCTTATGTTTCACTGATAACTAGACGTGTAACTTACTGATCCTACTGACTGCACCTATAGAACATATGGATTGCACCAAATAGTTAGTGATTCCTGGCAAAGGATGGACTTTGAACTACACTGTGTCCTGCAGTTATAAGGTGGAGAGCAGGGAAAGTAAGGGCTCCCCGCCCATCTCTACACACCTCGGGTAAGGGACTGAAAGTAGGATTGCCGTGTGTCTGGTATTCACTCGGAGATTCCGGTATTTGCAGGCTCCGTCCAGTAAAAAAAAACCAGGAAATACCAGACATGTGAAATGTTCGATATTTCCTGTTTCCATCAGATGGAGACAATTTCCCCTGCCATGTCTGGTGGGGGCAGAGGAGTGAGAAGCGCAGCAGAGTAGTAGTGAAGGGGGACACGAGGGGGCACTTGCTGGGCACCATGCTAGGGGGGAGCCAGGCTGGGGTAGGAGCAGAGCACACACTGCTCTGGCCCACGTGACCAGCAGAGACCCGGGAGCTGGCCACATGGTACCTCCCTCAACACCACCCAAAAGTGCAGCTCGTGAAGCTGCTCCTGCACCACCACCCCCCTCCCACCAGCTCTCCGCTGGCCCCACTGTGCTTACCAGGTTGGACCTGGGAGCTGCGGGGTTTTAAAAATGGCACCCAAGATGGCGGCTGCAAAGGAGTAGCCTCCTTCAAAAAAAAAAATATTATTTTTTTTTGTTTTTGCTCCACAATTCTGTTCTGGGAGGGCTGGTTTTTTTTTTTTTTTGCTTAACAACTTTGATTTCCTGCCCTCTAGATTTTTTCCCAGTGTTTTTTTTTTTTTTGGGGGGGGGGGGAGAGGAGGGAGAAGAGTGTTCAGTATTTTTTGTTAAATCATCTGGCAACCCCAATTTACTCAAAGTGTTCCCATTTGTCCAGTGGTGCTGTGCACTCCATACTGTCTATATATACTGTGGTTAGTACAGTCAGGAAATTATACACCCCAGATGAACATAACACCATCAAATCTTGAATAAGGTCTAACTATTACTGAGCCTTATCCATTAAAGTATTATCCATTAAAAGAGACAAAGGGCAATTTTTAAACATATTTAGACACCTAAAGGTACAAACAGAAGACACATGAAATCAATGGGAGTTATGGGAGTTAGGGGCTTAACCTGCTTAGGCCATCTTGAAAAACCCACCAGCTAACTTATCTATATGCAAAGGCCCCTAAATACCTGTGAAAATCTGGCCCAGAGTCCTCTGACCAAAGTCATTTTCATGCTCCAGTGCAGAACTCCTCAACCATCTGAGAGCTGACTATGCAAACTTGTTTAGCCTCATTTTCTTCAAGTTTCAGTCATGACCTTAACTTTATTGTATTCCATCTAAATTATAAATTACGACAACTCAGAAAAAATATTAAAAGTATTAGATTGTTTGACAATCTACTTTTTAGTGTAAAAGTTCCTCTATGTTTTTGATTTATTAGAAGGAAACATATTTGGTTGGTCTATCAAGCATTTTGCTTTGTTTGCTTGTTGAATTTTATTTTATTATTGGAATTAAACTGATGAAGCAAGACATGCTTTCGCACCTCACAATGAACTGCGTGCAGTAGAGAACTGAATATAAAGAGAATTGAACAGCTATTATACTTGAGTAAAGATGTCTAGCAATAACTGGAGTAGGCTGAAAACTGTGAAGGCAATAAGCCATACAGATATGAAAATATTAGCAGAGAAACAGCAATCACGTAGATGATCAGGTACTATACCTAGACTTGAATTGCCTTTTGCAATAGTGATAGTCTTCTCATGCATGGTTTTGGGTGTATTTTGGATTGTGGAACTTCCCTCAGTAGTAGATGTCATATAGCTCTTTTCCATTAAATACAATGAGTCCTAATGCAAAGAAAAACAACATTTCAAGAAAAAAAGCTAATTTAATAATAAATAGCAATTTATCTATTTTTTAAAATTAAAATTACACTGAGTCAAAGGGAAAAAATACACATCATAGTGGCCATCATTAAAAACCTAATAATTTGTATTAGAGTAATATCTGAAAGCTAGTTTGTGAACTGAACGTATGTGTTCATATGAAGCAGTAAGAAGCCAGAACTTCCTTTTCACGTCTCTATGCACTATTCAGGCCTGCAGTGCAGGCCAATATGAGTAATGTCTTATCTCCAGTTTCCATGTTTGCCCTCCCCCATTCCCCCCAGAATGAGGACACAGACAGAGGAAGAAATGAGCCACAGCACTTGACAAGGTTGATAGTCCTTGCTCTGGCTTATACCTAAAGTCACAATCCAGCTAGGAGATACCACAGTTGACTCCCAGCAATATCTTTAGGTTCACCAGGAAGCAGCTGTGAGCAAATGTTGATTTTTAACAATGATCATAGCATGTAGATAAATATTCAAGCCATATAACAGGACCTTTACTTTTCCATTAGAGTCAGGGTGCACTGTGACAGCAGTGTTTGTAGTTTGTGCAACTTCATCTGATGGCTGAGGCTCTGTCCAAGCAGCTGTGTCCTCATATGCAGGGTGTTTCTCAGAAACATCTGAAGGCAGCGGATCCATTTTGGATATGCCACAAGCAGGTACTATGCTTATGTCCCTTAAGGATTGGTTCTCTCCCCCTCCCTGGATTAGATCCATGTTGTATAGATTCTTGTTGGATGGTCTGAAATCAATGGAAGCGTTTGAGGATTCTTCAGCCACACCCTGTTCAACAATGAGGAATAGTAAATAAAAAAAATCATAATCTTATATAGTATTGTTAAAATGTGCTTTTCATGCTAAATATGTTAAATTGAAGCTAAACCTCATAGAACCCTGTTAAGTACAACTAATTGTTCTCAGGAAAATACAGTGTCTTCACAGATCACTGACAGTCCTTTTACTATAACAAGATTTTGTTTATAAACATTTTTCTTCTTTTGTTGTATCTGTAGCCCACTTTTCTACTATTAAAAGATTTATGGCAGAAAAAAAATACTGGCCAGATCCTCTGCTAGCAAAAATGGGCATAGTACTGAAGACTTTCTACAGCAATGTTTATTGCTGTAGGGCATACTCACAGCAGATGGACAGGGAATATAAAAGACCAAAAGACTCAATGCTGAACAAACAAGTACGATTGTTTTCAAGTTGGTCAAGCTTCCTTCAATAATTCACATTTGTATTTAAAAGAGGTCATGCAACATTTCCTCTAAATTTCACTGACTGGGGCTGCATTATCAAAGTAAATGTTTTTATATAAAATTTGTTGAAATTTTTAAAATCTCAGTAGTGGTTTTGGGTATCTTTATTTTTGGATGCCCAGTGTAAAACACTTTAAAAGGGGCCTGGTTTTAGCACTTCCTGAAAATCAGGCCCTTTAGAATTGCAAACTGGCATGTAAAATCCGTACTCATTTTTGAAAATGCAGGCTGCTACTACTGTTAAACAATGTATCAAAGACATTACATTATTTTCCTTCAACATCAGAAAGTGTGCAACTCTTCTTATTCCCTCTCTTTCCTTCTTCAACATATTTTATTACATTTACAGGAACTCTCCCACCTATTCCTTTCAATTCTCCAACACTGCTCTCAAAATATCCACTGTTCCTTTGCCAAATATCATTTGTTCTACGTAGGAAACACCTTAAGAACTTGAAGTGTCTTGTGACATTTTACATAGGAAGGCATTAAAATGTAGATTCACTGACTTATCATGGGTCTGCTTGCTCCAACTCTTATCAGCACTTGAGCAAATGCACAAGCAGATATGAAGGTATCAGTTTTTTCCTTCAGAACAAACAGCATAATCAGGAGAATAAACATGAATGGACAATATCTGACAGAGCTTTCCCATCCTCGTACCATGAAATGAGCCATATTTGTACCCTGCATTGCAGTCAGTGAATCTAAAAGAAGTTGCTTCTTTCTTCCTAAACATCATGTGAATTCTCAGTTTGTGGGTTAAGACTTACAGCATTCTCCTACAGTTATTACAAAAGGAAAATCCCTGTACTGATATATGATAGATACTTAACCACCTAGCCACTGTCCAGGCATGGCTGTGTTTTTCAGTGTGAACACCATGCAGTAGATACATGGAAGGGAGAAAAAGTTACATCTGCACAAAATCTATTTCAGAAGTAACTCTTCAGCGTAGAGTCATTGAAACAGGCTCACATTTGAGCATTCCAGCCAAGTTATATTTGAAGAGATAAAAGCCTAAATCCGTCTAAAGACCATAATGCAATAAAATCACCTCCTACCATTTATAGAACAGAACATAGGAATCCTAATCTATTTAGCCAACATCAGCATGCTTCAAAGACGGCTGCCATTTAGTCTTTACTTCAAATGAATTAAATTGGAGCCACTCCCCACACTTCGTTAGTCTGTAAGAGTAATCGGTGCTTTAAACTTTGCTGCTTAAATTTCATTTACTTGAGGAAAATGAATCAGATTATTTTGTTTTAAAACATTTTTCTTCAGTTATTTTGATGAATCAGATTATTTTGTTTTAAAACATTTTTCTTTGTTTTAAAACTGTTTTCTAGGGACCTATTCATATATGATGCACTTTCCAAATAGTTAGAACACATCCAGACACATGTGTTCCTCATAATGCCTATTAGCATACACTTTTTCAGCCTGTACTGCATCAGCCACTTGTTTCACAGGTGGTCTTACTAAAACTGGTTTCTCCACTGTTTTACACCTTGTGTAGTTTTGACACTTTCAACTACAAAAGTGCTACCAGATTAGAACATTAACATTTTACATCTACTTTGCATTGGTGTAAATGGCTGCACAAGATGCCAGGCAGTGGAGAATCAGGCCCATAAAACCTTTATAAGCTCAAATATAAATGGCTTTCAAAAATGATGAAAATAATTTAAGACTTCAGGAAACCCCAGAATGGTAGATTCTGTAAGACCAGCCTTTGTCCTATGAAATGTATGTTTCTCAGCATATATACTTCATAATCCTTTTAAGTAACAAGTACGAAGTTAAATAATGCAATCAGTCCCATTGGCACTGCAAAGATTGGAGATTCCATTAGGAGATGAACTCAGCTTTCAGTCTCATGGACAGTAAAAGCTGAATACATTCCAGAAAGGATAAATCCACCCAGTGAGTCTCAGGTGTGTAGGAAGATGCAGCAGCTATTCTATTCAAGAATACACACTGCAAACCATCCAAGAAAACTACATGGTGTTTACCTTGAACATTTGAAGAAACACACTCGAAAAACTGTGGCTAAAAAAAATTATAGTTAGCCAAGAAAAGAAGAAAAAGCAATGACTTAAAGAAACAAAAAAGGCACCATCAATATACAAAAAAACTATTCAATGTGGGTATGTGAATGGCACAAAAATAAAAAGTCACTTTTATAACATTTCTAAGAATTTTCATTGCTTAATTTAGTTTAACTGCTAATGAAATCTAAATCAGCAATTACTTACAGCATCATTGTCGCAGGACATAGTAAATTAACATAATTCTAAATACACAGTGATGAAGATATGCAAAAAATGAGAATAACTTTTACTGTTATGCCTAGACTATTGTACCTGTAGTAGAATGCAGTTTTTCTGTTTACCGCCATTTATGTCGCCAGTCTTTAACATGTTCTGAAATTTAAGAAAAAATAACATTTTTGTAACAGACTGATCAGCACAAATCCGATGTTACAAATTGTCTCCAAATTGGTTATCTTGCTGGTGATACAAAATACAATCAAAGCTTTGAACCTTCCATCTCCTTCTCTGTCTTGCATGCAAGTCTGAAAGATATCCAATCAACATTACCTAAATGAAATTGCACTTTAATCTGATAACGAACCTGTAAGCAGATGGAACTATGGCAACATAATGCCTCTACATTTAATACAGAAGCCAGACAAACATTTTTATACTTGTAATCAAGGTCTGCCATCAAGAAAATTATCTTTTCTTTTTACCTTGGGAGTTGATGATGGAAGAGAGAGGCTATAGTTCAGACCATCGCTACAGCTACTGCCATGCAGAGCCAACACCGAAGCCTGGAAGGTGTCATCATTGTCTGAAGTATACTGTGATTCAAAGGTGGATTCATCCGCTAGATCTGCCTCGCTTGAGTCCACCTAATAACAAAGACAATTTAATCAGGCTATCTGCTACCTTCAGACCACTTGAGCCTCAAACACTTGCACATCTTTTGCTAAATACTTCCTGTAACTTTGGTTAGTATTTTTTTGTTTCTCTGTTTTATACAAAATGTTCTAGACACAGTTGGCAAATTCCACATTCAATTACATCTGTGTAACCCCAAATGAATAGATGCAACATAAGTTTATTTAAAAATCCAAATTGATGCCGACTTTTTGCAAATTCTTCAGAGAAAAGAGATGGGCTAACAGCCATGACTAGTGGTATTAGTGGGAAAATGCTGCTTCTTTCCATACTGTCAACAAAATCCTGAGACTTATTTTCCCTTTCTGGGTGAATAAATAGTGCAAAAATGGGAATTTTCACTTAGTGCCACATATTAGGGACAAATTAATTTCCTCCCCTCTATAATTCATTTAATAGGTTTGACTTTTTTTTTAAGCTACAGACATTTTTTAAAGATACAAAAATATTTTAAAAATATAAACATCTGTTGTTAATACCCTTTACTTTGTTCCTATTTTTCCAAATAGTGTATTATTAAAAACAGCTTGTAAGCTGTTATCTTTTAACATGAGATAATAACTAATATAACAGATAAAGAAGCTTAAAAATCATGTACTATATATGCATGTATATATATATATATATTTTCATAACAATTGTAATATGCGTATACTAGTATAGGAACAACTGTACTATACTTACATGATCATTTATATTCTATGTTCCTGATTCTAATCTCATTCATACCAATGTAAATCAGGAATAACACTAATGTAAAATGGGTGTATATAGGACTAGAATCATGCCTACACTGTCAAAAGCAGCAAACACAGTCACTCTGCTGATAATCCAAAGACTAAAACCCTTCAAATACAGCTACATAATACTGTATTTTACAGCTCATAATACTGTATTTTACATAGCTAATAATATTATTAACTAATAATTTCAGTCCTCCAATTGTGATAACAATAGACTGTAATGGTTCCAAAGGACTGATTCATTCTGTTATAACAATCATCTGTGGATTACAGCAATGTCTTTTATATTTCCACTGAGACCCTTGTGCTCACTCAGGGTGTCTAGACTACAGGGTTTTTTCAAAAAAAGTGGCCTTTTTTTTTTGAAAAACTTCCCCTGCATCTAGACTGCCGCCGCATTCTTTCTAAATCAAATCAAAAGAATGTGGCGGTTGTTTCTACCGTGGTAAACCTCCCCTCCTGTTCTGAAATGTGATTTGTCCTTTTCATATGTGTTCATTTTTTTTAATTGTATCCTTTGGTATATATGGTTGTGACTATTTTCTTCCACTATTTGATCTGAGGAAGTGGGTCTGGCCCACGAAAGCTCATCATCTAATAAACCATCTTGTTAGTCTTTAAAGTGCTACATTGTCCTACATTTTGCTTCAGCTACCCCAGACTAACACGGCTACATTTCTATCACTTTTTTTTTTTAAAGTACTCTTTCGAAAAAAGGAGGTCTTAAATGCAAACAGGGCTTTTTCAAAAGAGAGCATCCAGACTGCCTAGATGCTCTCTTTTGAAAAAGCGGCTCGCTTTTTCTAAAGAAGCGGTTGCAGTCTAGATGCTCTCTTTCGAAAGAGACATGTAGTCTAGATGTAGCTTCACAGAGGCTGCTATCATAAGACTCAATTTTATCAAAGGTCTGTGTAGGAAAAATCATGCACCCGTACACAATTCAGAGTAAATGTTTACTTTCATTCATTGTTGTGCTTAGGTAGATCACATGCAATATACTCATCTGATAGGTAGATTATGCTCGAAAGTATATAACATACCTTAGACTCCTGAAATATATGTTGCTAGGCCATAGCAGACCAGGTGAAGGCTGAAGTGAAAGGCCTTTCTCTGAATTTTATACATTTCTAGCACGGATTCAAGGCTGATTATTTAAAAATGCATGCCTAATCTGCATGTACAAAACCTGCAAGCCAGATCCTGAGTTCATCATTTAGCGCCATATAGAAGGAGCCTCAGTGAAAACCAAGTCACATTTTTAAAAGTGGTGTAAGCATTTAGGGGCCAGATTTTTAAGGATATTTAGGCATGTATCTTCCAATTCACTGAAGTTAGATACCTAAATGGCCTTAAAAATGTGACACTTAGGAACATAAATCCTGTTGACTTTGAAAGATTTGGGCATCAAAGAGCCTAGGTCACCTTTGAAAATGCATATGAGGAGGCTAAATCACTTTTTTAGTTTCAGTCCTTGTTCAGAAAAACTTAAAGCTCAAATTGATAAAATTGAGTCTGTTGACCTTTGATAAAATTGAGTCTGTTATGATAGCAGCCTCTGTATAAGAGTTTAGGCTGCCTCTTGTGCATGCGCCATGTCAGGGCGGAGCAGCTTGCGTGTTCTTATGATCCCAGGAAATATGCCAGCGGAAGCTTAGTGCTCCTGGTAGGTTCAACCAAGCCAGAAAGGTCAAGGGAAGAGGAGCCAGACTAAACATGCACACCGGTCCTCCAGGATTGGGGATTTGGCTCAGGGCTAACAACCCTGACCTAGAAAAAAATTGTGTTACGGAAACAGCAACAAAGAATGTCCAGAGTCACTTACAGAGACTTGTGTGATATGAATCACACTTGGGACACTATTGAGAGGCTGGCCAAAGACTGACAGAAGTGGAGGACCTTTGCCCAATACACCAGTGGGTTGAATGTTGCGCGATACACAAGTGGGTTGAGTGAAAAGTGAATAAGGACTTCAGGATCTGGCCCTCTATTTGCAAATGGAAAACAAGTAACTGCAGTCTCCGATTCCTGAATTTGTAACTGCACATGAAAATTTCCATTTCACAGATGCAATTTAGTCACCCAGTTTTGAAAATTTAGACCTTATAATTATTTCATTTTTGTCTTGTTATATGAGCATTATTTTCAAACATTTTTCACACGCAATATCCAGAAAGGACTTTTGAGAGAATAATGAGCATTATTTTCAAACATTTTTCACACTCCATATGCAGAAAGGACTTTTGAGAGAATCTTTCCAATCTTGTGCACAACACAGGCCATAGAACTTCTTACAAACAATTACTGCAGCAGATCTTTAAAGAAAAACATCCAATCTTGATTAAACAATGGTCAGTCATAGAGAATCCATCATGACACACGGGAAATAAGGAAATATTTTGGTTAGTCTATAAGGTGCCAAAGGGCCACTCACTGTTTTTAAGGAAATAAGGATTTTTTTAAAAAACAATTGGAACAATTTACTAGTCTTGCTTCAACTTTCAGCCATTGGATCATGACTTTCTTTGCATCACTGAAGAGCTCATTATTAAAAATATTTGTTCCTCATGTAGATACTTAGACTATAATCAACCTTAACCTTCCCATTGTTAAATTAAATAGATTAAAAAAGCTCAATCTACCACTGTAACTCATGTTTTTCTAATCTTTTGTCCATTCTCTAGGCTCTTCTCTGAACCCACTCAAAATGTATAAACCTCCTTCTTGAAATGTGAACAACTGAATTTCACTGGCAAGATCTGTAGGCCAAATCTGAGCTCAATATTTACTCAGTCCTTACTCAGACAAATGAGAAATCAAGGAAATTTCTCACTCACAGCTTAGTTTCTCCTTGATGCATCATTAAAGTTAGAAACTCATTGTCAGGGAAATAACCGTGATATTACAAATACTGTAAAATGGCATCAAGGTAAGATTAAACGAGAACAGGATTTGGGCAGTGGGGTTTAAAGACAATGTTAGAAAAAAAACATTCACAAACAAGCTAAGAAAAATATGACACACACATGGAAGACTTCAATCCTCCTCTTTTTCTTTATGGAACAGCCTCTCTAAGGATGCTGACACTTGTTTATAAATTTAACTTAAATGTATCTAACTCACATCTACATCAAAATATTACTTCAACTGAAGTACTCAAAAGAACTAAGTATTTCTTAGTAAGTACTCAGCATTATTCAAGTTCAGAAGCAACGTTTCAATGGATAAAAAAAAACCATTAAAATCTGGACTCCTATTAGCAGCTTCTATGATACCTAAAAGTACTCTTCATTTAAATTGCTTTTACTGTGAAAAATCTATAGCTTTTATACTCACACATCTTGTGATCACTAAACAATGTTATATTATAAATATGGGCATTAAAAAAAGAAATACAGGTTGCACAATAAGAATGATGTCTAAAGGCAAAACAGAGGTCCAACTAAAAAAAAGACATCCACGTTATCACGTTGATAAATAGAAGTCTCTACAATGTAGTTAAATAAAAGCTTATGTACAAAGGACAAGGTTTTTCAATGCTACCAATAAAGATTAAATGCCCAATGCTCATCATTACAGTTGGAACTGGGCATCCAAATCTCTTAGCTGTCTTTGAAAAAGTATCAGACAAATATTTTCTTATTTTCCAGTAGCTAAAATGTTCCAGCCAGATACTCAGCTGATGCAAACTAGTGATTTCAATGGATCTATGCCAGTACACAGCATCTGGAGATAGGTCACACATGAAGTAAGGCTAAACATTTTTTAAAAATCATAAGCAAAGTGATAAAAAAGACTTCATTTTGTTTGGACAAGGCAAAAACAATGCTAAAAGAGGCTTAACAGAAGTCTTGGTAAGTTGTGCCCACTAACCAGAGCCAGCTCAGCATGGAAGAGGGCTGCATCAACTGGCCCTTCTTCAAGTGACTGGGCAGTGTAGAAAAATGAATCTTCCTTAGCAGAAACATAACCCTCTTCTGGTGAAAGCTGCAGAAAGAATGAAGCTCTGAGTTGGATGAGTGGCCAGTAAAAAGCATGCAAAGTCAGTAATGTTAAGGAAGTTACTGAAATGTAAATAAATATTAAGTACAGAAGAGAGATCATCTCAATCAAAATTATACTGCTGGAAAAGTAAAATAATACATATTTATCCTTCACATGATGTTTTACCTGTTATAGTAATGAAACATTGGACAATCCACTATTAGTATCCACAGAACCCATAACATATTGTACAAATAAGTTGAAGATTTCTGTATTTTTTGCTCATAATTAAGCATTTTCTAAAACAATCACATGGCCCACCATAGTAATTTTAATTACTTAAACCATAGACCTCTACTACTCAAGCTAAAAGAGTAACCGTTAGCCTAGTCTCAGCAGTGCCTAGAGCTCTTATGCTCTAAGCAGGCCAGCCACTACTGGAGGACAAAATATACTTTGTCAGTATGGTACAGATGCAACAATTTTTTTCCCTATATTATTTGCTGCTGTTTTTAGGTGTATCTGTCCAACATACTATTTCTAGAGTGATGGAACTCAGCAAGTGTAACATTTTATATGTTTAATGCTGAAGCTTTATAAAAAGCCAGAGGAAAGTAAAACAATCATGCCTCATCCTCTTTCATGCTTTAAACAAAATATCAATTCTGAAAAAAAAAATTGTTCTGCAGTATGCAGCATTTAATCTAACCTACAAAACTTTCTCACAGGAAACAAGTTAAAATACATATTTCACTTAAAAACAAAACAAAATGCCTGTGTTATTGCTAGAAGACTACCAGCTAAGAGCCAGAATGTGAAATCAAAGAGAATTCTGTTCAGGAAAGGACTATGGGATGGTAACATTCCAAAGAGGAAGGGGCGAGGAAAGAACTCAGTCTTATAAATAAAATGGGCTAGATACTAAGGTAGTTGAAACTGGTGTAGCTCCAGTGACTCCACCTTAAGCCAAAGGAGAATCTGGCCCAATGGCTTTGCTATTACGCTGTAATTATTCAAAGTAGCAGTATTCAAAAGGTTTTGTTTAATTTCCCCAGTCAGTGAGGAAGGGAGTATGGTTCAATGAGTTCTGGCTTTTATTCATGTCTCTCTCTAATACCGTCTCACTATGTGGTCTTGAGCAAGCTATTTACCCTCTTGGTAGTGCTTTAATTTCTCTCTCTCTTTCTCTCTCTTAAATGTGGGTAATCTTGCTTACCAAAATGGTACCATTTGAGGTTTAATTAATATTTGTGAAGTGTTTTGAATGAATCATTCAAATGAGGACTTCCTCAGCTACAGCACCCAAAAATGAATTAATAAATAGCTATACAGTTACAGGTCAATAACTGCACAACACCTTCAGACACTAATTAGATGAGATACTACACCATTTCAGTAAAATTATTAGGTTTACCCTGGATGAACTAAAATATACACTTTTTTTAACAAAGAGCATAATCTAAATATGATTGGTATTAAACAGATGTGTGTGTCAATGTGTAAGTCCTGACTAACACCAGAATTAGCACAGTTCTGGAAAGGTAACACAAGGTTGACCTTAAACCTCCTTCACATACCTGAGGGTATCCTCAGGATGATACTAAGTTATGTCTCAGTATCCACAGCCTAGGTGTGTACACTGGTAACGTGGACACTCCAATCATTATCCTTTCCCCAGCCATGCCCCAGAGATGGAGGAGCAGAGTCTGGGAACGCAGAGATACTATGCCAACTCTATGCCACCAGGGACTTCTGACAGGCAAAGAGAAGATTCAGATAAAATTACTTTTGGCAACTTAATGCCATTTGAGTAGCACCAAACTAGCCATAGATTAAGCAAAGATATTGGTGAAAAATCAACCAACAATGTGTGAAAAATCAATCATCTAGAACCCAGTCCTTACAGGCAGTGGTTTGGCAACTCCTATTCTAACTGTTCCTGCTGGAGCGCCTTTCAGTGCTTGTACAGCTTCCTCCAGGCTGCCATTTTCCAAGTTGATATCATTGACAAACATCAGCCGATCTCCAGGAAGAAGTCTGCCGTCTTGTTCAGCAACACCACCAGGTACTAATGAGCGGATTACAATGACTGTGTTTGCCGGGTCCACTGGATCCTAATTAAAAACAAAGCAAAGAAACCAGTTCGCTTTCTTATTTTTAATTCATAAAAAGCTATCTAACTTCTATGGACCAACTTCTAAGGTCCCGACTCAGTCCTTACTCAGGAAAACTCCAGATGACTCTCCAAAAGGAGTTTACTTCAGGAATGGCAGAAGACACTTAGAAAAGATAAAAGATTTCTGGATTTGGCCTTACTATTTAGTCATTTATTCTGATACACAGAAGTGAAAATAATTATTGCTCATGTGCACTGAATGCTTTTACATCAAGTTTCCATGTAAAGCTACTGAACAGTGGTAGACTGCCCTTCCTAGTGCAATAATTATATGCCAGCAATTAAAACCAACACGTTCCACAGTAACAACATTCCACAATATTCAAATGCCTTGGGGAAAAGATGGGCCTTGCATTGTGCTTGGAAGGTTAACATATCTGGGCTTTGACGGACAAGAGGATTTAGTTAGAGTCTCCTTGCAGCACATAGTACTTGATATCACTCAGTCATGAAGGGGACTGTCTAATAAGAGAGGGGCCCTTATATGTACCTGATTAAACATTTTTACAGCTACGTGGTACTGTAAGGTAAATTTATAAAGTACTTTAAAATATGAAGAGTAAAGTTTGCTTTTAATACTTAGAAAAAGTAATCCTTACTCCCTTATACACATTTTAATTGAACATACTGTAATCAAAGACCAAGAATAGGAACTTAATCCCTATAACAAAACCTTAAACTATCAGAGTTATAAATACAGTAGAGTCCCAATTATCCAACCTAAACGGGACCGATAGGCGGTCAGATTAACGAAAATGTCAGATAATACGGAAATGGCCCGGGATGTGAACAAACTCCTCGCTGTATTGTGAGGGGGGTCCAGACCGCTTTAGCCAGTCCTCCCCTTAATCGCCCCCCCACACCAGCTATGCCCTGCAAGCAACCCAGGGGTTCCCACCCCGCTGCAGGCTACCAGTGCGCTGCGCCCCGAACAGCTCGGAGACAAAGCAGCCAACAACAGCCATGGTTTGGTCCCTTCCCCACCTCCTGGCGGCAGTGCCAGCCCGCACCTCTCAGCCCCACATGTAACAGCTCGGAGACAAAGCAGCCAACAACAGCCATGGTTTGGTCCCTTACCCACCTCCCGGCGGCAGTGCCAGCCCGCGCCCCTCAGCCCCACATGCGCCCCAAAGCTGGATCTCACGCACCGGTCCCCACTGCTCGCTGGGTTTGAAAGGGCTGATGCTGCCCGTCCTAGTTCCCGTCGCGCAAAGGGAGAAGCAGGAGCAGGACGTGGCGGCCAGGCAGCCCCGGAACAAGGATGCACCATCCGCGGGCAGGGCTGGGGCTGCGTGTCACCACCAAGCAAGCGTCGCTAGCGCGGCTGAGGCAGATATGGCCTGGCTGTGGAAGCCCCTGGAGAGTGGCTCTGGCTGAGCATGGAGCAGCCTACATGGCTGCCCCTGTGTCGCCCCCATTGTATCCCTTCCTACAACTGCCGCCTGCCAAGAGGAAGGCCCCCAATTCCCTCCAGCACTCATCACCATGACAGGCAAAGGAGTGGCCTGGCCACAGTGGGCTGGGACCAGGGCACACTGACAGACAAAGTAGCAGTGGTATGGCTATGTTGGATAAAACGGAGGGTCGGATAAACGAAGGTCGGATAATCTGGACTCTACTGTATGTGCACAATTTTGCACAGAAACTCCCTCAAAAAGATTGTATTTAGAATTTCAGATGTTAATTTTCCACAATATGTATCTTTAATTCTGCTGGTCAAGCACAGATATTATATAATACATATAAGTTTATGAATTCTAAAAGCTTAATGGTTAAAACACTAAATTACATAGTGGTTCCCAGATCAACACATTTAGCAACTTCAACCCAGATACCGTAGCAACTTTCTATGCCAATATATTAAGTACTGGAAAAGGTACTAGCTTCATACTGCAAATTGTACAAGTAAAAAAATATGGAAACAAGTGACTCTTGAGAGTAAATATGAAGAAACGACAAGATCTCTAAGAACCCATGGGAATTAGCATGACCTAATAAGGTAGAGATTTGTGATTATATGTGTATATATGCACACTCTCATGCTCTCTCTCTCTCTTATGGATCCCTACCTTATTATATCATGCCAATACCTGTGTGTGTGTGTGTATATATATGTATGTATACCGTCATGAAAAATCTCTATTTTTGTATAAATTAAAAATAGAGGTCTCCCATGGATACATACACACACACACACACACACACACACACTAATGTCTTACAGGGTGTAGTGTAACTCGCATCTCTTTGGAGACATTACTTGACAGGACAACATCCCTCAAAACTTCATCCAAGAATATTTATACTGTCATCTGAAATAGGATTGCATTTTACCTGCATCACACTGACTATCTCCCTTTTCAAGGAATCTGCTTATAGTTAACCCATTATTCAATATGAGGAATTCAATATTATGAACAAAAAAAAAACATGCTAATGCAACCATAACTATAGCCAAAATTAAGAATTAACTGAAAATTTGCTAGAAATAAAGACAAAATTCCTTCCAAATATAAAAAATAAATATAAATATAAAATATTCCTGAGAAAGAACCATAAATATTGTTAATGACTTTTCCATATTGTATATGCGAAGAGAAGTGAATTAATTTCATGAAATCTCAAAGAACTGTTCAACATGAAATATATTCATATTGAATATCAGAATATTTACAAGAATTATACATTTCTCTGACAATCTCCAGAACATGCAGCCATTATTAGATAATGTTACCCTATTGTGTTCCTTAATTGTTCACTATGTAAAGAAATTATACTGTGGGGTGTATTTTGAGAAGACCAACTCCCTAGCCTACCCATAAGAAATCAAGTGTTTCCCATAAGAAAGATCAGTTGAACTCTGAATGTTTATGCTTATCAGATAGTGGACTAGTGACCCGACTAGTCACTTTCTCTCTTCCCCCCCCACCCCCGGGCTAGTGGACTAGTGACCCGACTAGTCACTTTCCCTCCCCGCCCCTCGCCTTTCTGCCTCTTATCAGAAAGAGGCAGGAAGGGGGGTAGACAGCTTAAAAGCCAGTTCCCCCCAGCACCATCTCTGTGGGGGGAAACTGGTGGCATTTCCACCTTTGAAACGTAGCAAGAGCTGGGCTCTTGCTACATTTCAAAAGCAGAAGCATCATGGAAGCAGAGGGCGAGCAGGGACTCAAGCAGTCCCCCACTGGACCACGCTCCCTGCTTTTGAAATGTACAAGAGGCTCCTGAAATGTGCAAGAGACTCTTGAAATGTCAGAGCCGTTTGTACATTTCAAAAGCAGGGAGCATGGGGCCCCAGACTCAAGCAGTCCCCCACTGGACCACGCTCCCTGCTTTTGAAATGTACAAGAGGCTCCTGAAATGTGCAAGAGACTCTTGAAATGTCAGAGCCGTTTGTACATTTCAAAAGCAGGGAGCATGGGCCCCCAGGGGCTGCTTGAGTCCCCTGCTGGCCCCGTGTTCCCCGTGGCATGTCCACCTTTGAAATGTAGCAAGAGCCAGCTGGGCTCTTGTACATATCAAAGGCGGAGGCACCTTTAACGACTATTCAATTAGTAGATTCATCTAAATTTAACATCCTTAATGCAAACTAGAATACTTGTGCCTCTCAGAACTTAACTAAAGCTTAACTGAAAAACTAGAATACTTGTGCCTCTCAGAACTTAACTGAAGCTGCAAATCATATGATTAGAATCCCTGAATTCACTGAACTGTGCTCATTGCACTCACAGAATAGGAAGCAGCGCCTTTTAAAAATCTAGCCCTCTATATGGATATTAATTTATTTGGGAGAAACGGATAGCCTGTGCTTTTACTATATTAAGAGAAATGAAGAATATTGTTAATGAGATATCTGAGTAACATCCAGGAGGAGTATGAAACATTTATTACCGGCTTACTTTAACATATAAGAATATTGTCTGGTTTTCATTCACGTCACATATAAAATATATATTTATAAGATGGATGCAATCTATATTCAATACCAAATATATTCATGCAATCAGGAATACAGACATTACCTGGTAGTCTAATATGCTAAAGCCAAGGCCCATGCTCCCTTTCTCCAGCTCAACATGCTGTATTTCTGTTTCCCACATTGCCAAAGGAGATCCTTGCACCTCGTCAGTACTCTGACCCACATCAGCCACTTCCAAGCCAGTAGCCTCTGTCTCTGAGGAGCCAATGACTTCATCCAGGTCTACATGAGACTGAAAAGACAAAGAAAACCCACCTTCATAATATTAATGTGATATATGTAAAATTTCATTTATACCAGTACCCAACTGATGCACACCAAAATGAAAATAAATCTCAAAGGTTATATTCCATTATATCTAATGATGCTGACTACCCAGGGAGTATAACAAACAAAAGTATATAATAAGCCTAATGCAGAAGGATTAAACATCATTGCTCAAGTGTTTTAATATCAAAGCGAAACAGGTTCTATGCTAGTCATAACTCATGCAAACCCACAGTAAACTGCACTCCCAACACGGAGTATTGTGCATTCAAATGGATTCTTTCATGCAAAATTAATCACTCTCTTTATCTGTCTGCAGATTTATACTGCACATTTAATCCTTCTGCATATCATCTGAAAAAAATGTACAGTTCATATCTGCAACCTACACCCTGTTCCAACGGATTTGATAGAAGAAAAGAAAAGCCACAGTATCCATTCCGTTAGTGGGGAAGCTCAGGCCTGTTGGTTGGATGTGGCCCCCCGGCCTGCCTGGATCCAGACCCTCAGAGCCCCCCATGCCCCAGCTGCACTGGGGAGTGCTGGTACTCCAGTCCAGCCACTGTCCCACCATAGGGCTGGAGCTCACAAAATCTACTAGACAGGGCCCCCCTAGGCTCTGGTGTGGGAGGAGAATGTGGGGAGTATCTTTCTCTTCAGTAAAACACCACATCAGCAAGGGGTTTTTGTGTGCAGCCCTCAACTGATTTTTCTGTGGGTTAGTGGCCCCACCTCTGCTTTAGTGGAATACAGAAGCTTAGCAGTCAGAAGACAAATGTTGCTCCATATGCCAAATAAGCACAGAAGTCAAGATTTATGGTGAATCTCCTTCTACAGAAACAGTTACACACTACTCCAACACTCTTAACACATCAGCAAGGGGTTTTTGTGTGCAGCCCTCAACTGATTTTTCTGTGGGTTAGTGGCCCCACCTCTGCTTTAGTGGAATACAGAAGCTTAGCAGTCAGAAGACAAATGTTGCTCCATATGCCAAATAAGCACAGAAGTCAAGATTTATGGTGAATCTCCTTCTACAGAAACAGTTACACACTACTCCAACACTCTTAACAGCTGT